GAGTTCTTGGACTAATCTCCGGTCTGTATGCTTATAACTGCAGCATATCATGCTCCCCGGATCTTGTTTGTTTCTTGTATTTAGTGTTGAGAAAGACAGAGAGCAGAGTACCGTCCCATGGTCACTACTGGAAAATCTGTTACCAACATGGGTGGAGACTGGGATTATACCATGACAAAACACAAGGTCCAACATGTTGTTGCCACGGGTAGGTGTCTGGACGTGTTGCTGCCATCCGTAACAATCGATAGCGGTAAGTAATTCGTCGAAGAGTTGTGGGCGGGAACTATTCGACTAGTTGACGTCTAGAAGATTGTAATTGGTACTAAACAAGGAGGCTTGTGCAAGCGATTTAGCTGAAAGAGCATCAGTTTCTTTGGTTAAACATGGTGTTGGATTAGCGGCCAATGAGGACATTGTACTTATCTCCAGAGTGAATCAGTTACCTCACCAAGTATTTCATCTTCCACCATAGTGGGCTTTAATACAGCTAAAATTTACTCTTTCCATTCACACTCTTCGCTCGCATAAAGTTCGGTTTCTCTGATGAAGAAAAACCATTACAACAACACCCATAATTGAGAATAACCATATTTTCATCGAAAACGTCATAGTTTTCCATGGTAAGACCAATGTGGTGAGCATCATACAATGCAAATGTGTACTATCATTTCAAGTACTATGTAGCTTCTTCTTGTATTTATCCTGTAAATATACCTCCAAAAATGTATTATTCATTAGTGCATTTTGTACTATTTTGCAGCTGCTCTAGATATTCTTCATTTCCCGAAATAGCGTTTAAGCACGAGGGGGCATAGCACTCACTCAAATATATGTTGTTTATCGATTACCCATTACCATCATTAGGAAATGAAACGAAGTTTGGGTTGTCGCTCAACTTCGATGGTGACCTTGATGAAGGGTTTACAATTTAACATATATAAGAATCTGTTCCGATTGCTTGGACCATAAAATTCAAAAATTTGAACTTTTCAAAAAGTGACTTTCTATCCTAATTCACAATTGTAATTTGTAACATAAATGATCGTGCCTGTAAACATGGCATGCATTTCATCTAAGCTTACCTGTTTATACGAAAAATATATCTATACCATCCTATACTAGGTGACTGCTGTGGTACGCTATCCACTTTCGGTAAATTTAAGCAAGATCACCCCATTATGGATAAGATTTTATTTTGATAAATCACACAGTGTCACACAGTAATATTAACTGATGACGTTTCGAGCACAAATTATTGCTCATATGTTTATGAGATAAAATCTTATCCATAATGGAGTTACACTCTACCACAGTGCCCAGGTTTTATACTTATATCAATTAAGCCAGAGCAGGTGACCAGATTATTACTAGGCACTATTCTGAAGTGACACGGTGTTTTATCCTGAGCTATGGTTATAAACTTATAAGTGCTACTCACTTCTAGATGATCTTGAAATTTAGTAAACGTACTAGCGTCAAGAGAATTACCGAAATTAAAAATGATGGGACAATTAAACCGGGTCGACTTTTTACGAAGTTCTTTTGTATTCACATGCCGCAACAATCCAGAATTTTGATTTTTACAGTTTTCAGAGCCATTGAGTCTGGGATGTTTTAAACTATAGCCTGGTGGGAAGAGGCTACACGCTTTATCATCTCTGCAGCCGAGCTGTCAACCAGATTTTCAGCTTTATTTCGGTTGCATGGAGACATCTTAGGATGTTTATTTAAAAGACAGATTTTTGGGTCTAAATAAGAAAGCTTGTTTTGAGTTGCATCCAGTAGAGACTTAACCTGGTCAACATCAGAACGGTTTTCCATGATAATTGAGATTGGCAGTGTCATGCTATCAAATTTTTCCTGGAGTTCACCTACTTGCCTCTGGATATCTTTCGCAAGGCGGTTTAATTTACAGAAATCAGTGTTCTCTAATAGAACACCATTCACCCGTATCACAGGAGTGAGACCTGCACTCAAGCCGTTTTGTGAGCCAGCAGCTGATACTATATTAGAGGGTGGTAATGCAGTTATTACCGAGGTTAAGCCACTATCTAAAACAATTTTGTTTCTGAAAACACGTTTCGTAGAAATTTGGACCATAATTTTAAGGATTGTATATCAGTAAGCAATAAATGAATATCAGAGAAAACAGGTGCAAAAATCTCACCGATTTTGGACGTACCGCTTTCCAAAATGCATGCCGTGGTTTTGGCTCCTGCTTTTAGCTCAGGCATACATATATGTGTTTTTCCACATTACAGCATAGGTTCCAGTCTACACAACTACCGTTAGCTTTCATGGTCTTTACCACCGAGGCAATATTTTGCATATTTAAGTTGATGTGACCTAACTTTTAATAATTTTTTCAGGTTGTGTTGAGAATCAGGAACGGGTGAGCTTTCGTGTCATTGAAAAAGCTACTGCCTGAGGAGTTCACTGGAAATCTGGGAGTCATCATAAATTACACCATATTCCAAGCGGTTACCATTGTGTTCCTTACTGTTTTCTAGTCGCTTTTGAAAAATCCTCCAGAGTTCCTGAGTTTTACAGATTCCCCAAGGGCCTTATTTTCCTCAAGTTGCGCCTTCATCTTGTGTCTTTCTTTGTGCATCGGTGGCACAGAGGTTAATACTCCCTCCGACCATGCACATGGTCTGGGGTTCGAACCCCTGCCGACGCACACCCGATATCTATGGTCGGCCTGAATTTGGGCTACCGATATCCATGCTGAAAATTCCATACTTGTACTGGAAATACGGTGTGGCATCAAGCTGTAATCAAAAATAAAAAAATAAAAATAAATAAATATAGTTTGAAGGTTTCATGCATCTGACTTAATGCACTGAATTCTCCAAAAACACATAATTTCCTTTCCAGTTTCTTTAGCTTTAGTTGTGGTTTGCAGACTGAAAATACAGTTGGTGTCTTTGAAGCAGATTTAGGGGGCGATTTTCTTTGCCGGAATCGATAGTTTTGTAAAATATATGAAGCGTTACCTCGAAGTTACTATTGGTAAGGTACTCTTCTCCGTCAGAGCTTCTCAAAAGCACTGGTAGAATCTCTCAACAGGCACTTCTGTTGTCCCTTTTTTGATAATACACTGGGCAATTTTAAGGTATGCATTTGCTTTTAGCTGGAGAGATAGAGTGCAGTGCATTATGTGGTGATCAATGTCATCTAGTTTGTTTCCCTTCGATATCGAATCTGGCTGTATTTAGCGGAAGAGGATTAAGTCAAGAATATTTTCGTGTCGTGTTGGGAGGCATGGGCCCACATATATAGGTTCAAGGAGGTCGTTGTGGATTCTAGGTCCTGTGAAGGTACCTCAGCTCGCTTCAGGGAGGTTGAGGACTCCACAAACTACTTTTTAGTCAAATTTCGGCTCAGCTACATGCCCTAGTATTTCTCCAATTGAACACTATACCGTTCTATTTTGATGCTAGTCCCTCAACAACTTTGCCAAACTTAAAGTCCATAGCGTTCCCGGACTCTTTTGCATTTTCCGATTCCTTAAGAGTTAATTTAGACTTCATATTAAACAGCCTTAGAATAGTAAGATCCAAATCTTTTCGACAGTTTTTAGGAACACCTTAGCGTTTTCTGAGATTGTCCAAAGAAAATGTTAGATCACGCCTTGAACTACATGGTGCCCCATCTCCCCCGTTACTTAGAAGGGACTCCGGTCCTCTGGACAAGTTCAAAAGAAGAACGGCGAGAGGCGTTATGGGCCCCGAAATAGACCATATTTCAAAACTTTGGGGTTTTTCTCACCATTGGCCTAGGGATAATTTAACTAATGCCAGTAAGAGTATAAATTACTAGAATCACCCGAACAAAGAAACTCTACCACTAAGCCATCGCACACTCCTCTACATCAACCAACACAGCATCTGGAAACGAAGGCTGTTATGTTGCAATGCATTTTACTCTTGAGTGTGAGGTTAACCCAACACTGTAATGTGTCCTGATTTCCTATAATTTCAAGTTTGCTGCTACTGGAAATTTTACTGACAGCAGTAGCTACTGAACGCTTAGAATAAAAGATTTGGGTGGAGGCTGGACAATCGAGCGATAACACAAGGACAGTATCATAATAGGTTATCCTTTCCCACATACTAAGCTAGTTATTTACCCTTGTCAAGTCTCACTTGTCTGAATCTGTTAACTACCACGCGTATTCACTTGAAATCTATTATCTATTTGCTTGTTCTTAAAGTTTGCAGAGTCCCAGTTAAGTACATTATTTTTACTGTCTACCTTTTCAACCACACCGGACGATCAATAGGTGGAAGGATTAACTCCATTAACAGCAACAGCATGGTCTTGACATGCTGCAAACAGTGTTGTGCTGCTATATTTTGATTAAACTAGCGTACACATATATCCTAGTACTTCTTCTCGTTTATAATTGTATCCTAACCTTGTGCTTACTCGACACACACAACGTAAATCAGAAGACACTTGAGAAGGTGTAGGAATGTGTATTCTCGCCGTAATCAAAATTCAAAACTTGAGCGAGTACAAATGTATCAATTGTTAACACGCAAGATTTAGAGTAATAAACAAATCAAAGTACAATTACACAATGAAAGTATAGTACGATGATGAGTAATAAAATGGGTCACTACAAAAGCTTATAGATGATCCCCTAGCCACTTCTCTGAGAAACAGTCAAAACCACGGCAGGCTAGTAACGGCGAAAACTACACAGGAAATTAGTGAAGATGAGGCAGCGACCTCAAAAAATTCATTTTGTTTTAAACTAGTTTATGAATACGACGTTGGATACTGAAGGCGATGCATCCAAAGAAAGGCTGTAAAAACATCTGTTAAAGAGATCCAAGATTAACTTTAGACCTGTAATATGCAAACTGCACTTATGAAAATTTCCGGTTTCTTATGTCATCTTACATATTTGTGGCCATCAGGTGGCCTTTAGGGCGTGTCATTCAAAGTAGTCTGGACTGCGCGCTAAATCTGTAGTTCACCGCCAGCGGATGTCCATTAAAGAAGGTTACTTAAAGAAATGGTCAGGTACGTCAAGCATATTTGACACTAAAGGTGAATTTACCTTCAGATACGAAACACTGGACTAACGTATATTGTAAATTACTACAAAGTGGTTGGTTTCAATGGTTCGACAGTGCATCGTCTACTTCGCCTAAAAGAAGTGTTGATATCAGAGTATGTAGTATTGCAAACATTGTTTACTTTCTAGCGTGTGGCAGCATTCCTTGCCATTGGAGATGTTATCCATCGCGTCCCATGCAAACCAACTTCATTAACGAGTGCAGAAATACCGTTGTCCTTCGGTATTCCTTTTGAACCACATGTGGGAACTAAAATGGCTTGGTTTGTTTGTCCGGATCAAGCAACACTAAAGTACGTTTACTGTCGGCCTAATGTTTATCAGACATACGTTCCAATTTTTTTATATTGAATGTTATGTAGGTGAGCATAATGTGGAATCCAATTTAGCAGCGATTAACACATAGTAGCCTATTATTAAAACTTGTAGTTTTCTGTATAACTATCAAAATAGAGGGAAAAGCATGTCAGCGCGTACTTAAATTTTGCACAGTAATTATAGATCAAACAATATATGTTGTTCCGGACATACTGTTGTTGACAGTTTGGAGAAATACTTCACCTCACTTCCTGTTAGTACGCAAACCTCAGTACTTCAGGAGTAATAATGTAGATCATTTGTCCACTGATTTAACTTCACTGGGGTTTGAAAAATAATTGATGTTAATTTTCCCAGACAAATATTGCCATTAGTAGTTATTGAGACTGCTGCTTCACATTTTGTATAAGGGCCTGGTTACTTCCCGGACGCCTTGACCTAAGCCAGTGGATACCTTAAAGGGTCATTTGCCGAGCGTTTGATTTGAACCCTGAACAACAGGGCAGCAGATCTGCGTTTCCCTGATTGCGTGTGACTAAAAGCACGTTCATAAGTCATTTGTCCCTTTCAGCTTCTGGAGCCGATATGCACTGTATGTTTGGAATCAAAGTTTTCAAGCTCCCCCAGGGTAAACCTTTATGTCTACCACTCCCAAGTTGAATGACAGTTTCCTTCAATAACACTTACTCTTTGGAACGCTTTGTAACAATTGTATATTACATCAATGTGTATTATTTATTTATTTTTTTCCTTCACGTTTCCCAGTGTAACATAGGGCTTCAAGCTAGTGGCTTGAAGTTTCTGTAGCAGTGTTTATTTTACAGTATAGGATTGCTAGCCTCATGCCCAACCTTTCCTCTTCACCAGCATTATTTCAGGCTTAGCGAGGTAAAGGAGTGCGTCGGCCGGGTATCGAACCCGGACCATCTGCATAGTCGACGAGCGTCCTAACCGCTATGCCACCGACGCACTACATCAATGTCTACTAAGTTTGAATTGGGTTTATATACAATTTAACTAGCTTTTCGGCAAAGTTAAACTATCATAGCCAAAACCACAATGACCGTGAACAACCAACCAGAACTCTAATTCAAAAAAGTTGTAAAGTTGTTAAGAAATACACTAGAAAATATTGCTAACTTGATATTACACTATATAGTTGTAGCTTACGTGTTTTAAGAATGTCTCCCAGTCAATACACAAATGATCTATAGAGAAGTAGAACCATGGATGATATGCCAATTCATCCAGGTGACTGTAGGTCATGGTACTTCGATATCCATTGATATCTATTCTTCAACTTACTCCCAACTCGAATCATAATCCTAACTTTAACCCCATACCTAACCTTAACCCTAGACCCTATACCTTAATACTACAAGCCTTAACCCTGCCTAACAGTATAGATTTGCAGGAAAAGTATCTAGTAAGCAAGTAGAGTACCTTATCTATCCTCTCCAAGTTCCAAAAGTTAGGCATGACTTGATTTAGAATGATGTTTCATAATATTCTCTGTATGTTATCGGTTCTTGAAGGCCAGCTTTTGAAAGACCCTGACTTTGGCTATGGTACTTTAACTCCGCCAATTTTTCCACTTGTATTGTAAGCTTCTTTGATTGGGGGTGTGTGTGAATACTATGACACGTTCGTACTTTATTTTTTATTACTAGGGTGAATTAAAATGCTACTTCTGTCTAAGTTCATCTATTATCGTAATGTGGGTTCAATGACCAAAAGGATTAAAAGGAATTATTATTGTTTCCTTTAATTCCTATAGGAACATAGGGCTTCAGCCGTGCGTCTCCATTGCGTTCGGTTCTCTACTAGAGTTTTCACCTGGCTCCAAGTCTGCCCACACGCTTTCATCTCCTCTTCATATGACCTCCTCCAAGTCACCCTTGCACTGACGACCAAATCGCTGCTTCCCTTTCGGGTTCCACTCGAGGGTTTGCCTAGTGATGTCACTTGATGGTTTCCTCAGAGTATGGCCAATCCATCTCCATTTGTTCCTGCCTATTTGTTTCACAATCGGTTCCTGCTGTATTGGTTCGCTCCCAGGGATCTCTGTTGCTGATCTTTTCTGGCCATCTGATCTTGAGTATCGAGCGAAGACAACTGTTTATGAAGGTCTGTAGTTTGTTTGAGATGCTCTTTATGACGCGCAGTGCAAGTCTCTGATCCGTATAGTAGCACTGACTGACTTCACATAGAAGTTGAAAATCTGGATTTTATTTTTGATGCTGAGTGCTGTTGACCTCCACACAGACTTGAGAGTATTGAAAGCTTGTCTTGCTTTTCCGATTCTTGCTTTGATATCCTCGTCAGTTCCGTCCGCCTGTAGTTGAAACGATGCTTCCCGGGTAGGTAAAAAAGGAAATCTGTAACTAGATTTAATTTGCTTTTTGTTACATATTGGTGTTGAGTTACGTCTTCTGGCTTTTGAAGAAACATTTCATTTTAATTATTGTTCATATATTTCCGAACAAACAGTATTACCATAAAAACAGAATTAATAGCTAATTTGCCGCATCGTTTATCCCTAAGTCAAGTGGGTGAAAAAAAGAATTGGAAACAATGTAGTTGAAGAGTGCTGTAAAATTCAATCATCAACTGACACAGCATTCGGACCAAAGATCCACTGGTTGAGAAGTGACGTAAACTGTGTGAATCCACGTCCCTCACTTCCTCTGTTACGTCACCTGGAGTCCCTAAACATAGATTCTGGTGGTCACATGCATCACAGGTAGACAATCTACATGGTTCGTACTAATTTTCCATAGCTTCATATGTTTTCTGCATAGGTCGATATGTTTTAATGTAATTGTATAATTGTGCCTGTGAATATTAAATGGAGGGAACTGTCAGTGGTCCATTGTCAAATGAAAATAAGTCTTAATAAAGCGGGAAGAAACTGTCAACCTGTACCCGTTGATTATCATCCTACAGATTTCTTAAAAGTCGAAGCCATGTAAGTGCTAATGAGTACCTGTATGCTTGGAAGTTATACGTATTCGCACAGTAAAAGGTATTGACAGCTAATCATTTCAGCATACAAACTTTGAAATTATTTGGTAGGTTTGCCCCAAATGGTGATAGCCTATAGCTACAAGTCAATCAGAGGTGTTTAATTACGTAGCACGGTGGTGTTTTCCCATTGAGGGGCTCAAAACCTGCACCTATTCCTTTAAAGTTGAGTGCCTACACCGGTGTAATGGATACCTGTTGTCCATCTATGCACCACTTTGTGATGGCAGTCTTTTTGTATACCTGCTGCGCTGTCGCCTCAAACATCTCCTTATTCTATTTGTATTTTGACACTTTTCCCCAGTGTCAATAACCTTCATTGACGTTATTCATTGGTCAGCCTTGGATGTTAGACCTTTTTAATTGTCATTGCGGTTTTAGACTCAGGCCCTTGTTGCCTGTGTTAATCTTTGCCACATATATCTGCAGAGATCTAAGTTCTCTTTGAAAGCATTCACCGATGTGGCTGAAACTACTGAATCAGATAAGGAGTTCCAGTCGTTGCTGCTGCTGCTGGTTACGTGACCGCAGAGCCCAGGGGACAACTGCTTGAGGCCGGTCACACACGGCCTGTTTTTGTGTGTTGTTTTTCATTTGATGTGTCTCAGTATTTATCACTTCTGCCCTGTGACACGGCAGCAGAAAGCGCGGTCGTTGTTAATCCGGGCCCCGACCGATCCGGCATGATATTTTTAAATTTATTTGTGAAAGAATCTAAATTCCACACGTATTTTATCCGTCTGTGTTTTGAGCACCTATTTTTGGTGACCTCATAAATGTATCCTAGAGGAGGAGAAAAGATTGGGAATATCAATCCCTAAACCACCCTTTAATACGTAACATACCCCTCTCTTCCTGGGGAGAGATTTAAATGTTCCATTCTTCTCATAGGGAATGTGTGAGATTCCACTGACTAATTTGATTCCCACCCTCTGTACTTTCTCCAAGACATGCCTCTTTCTTGAAGCATGGACTAGTTGCTTGTATGCAGTATTCTAGATGAGGCCTGACGTATGTTGCTTATAGTGCTCTGAGCATAGACTCGTCTAATTGTTTGAAGGTCCTTCGAAGTGCCCATATCATTAGAAAAGCCTTGATTGCGTCTGCATTACAATTTGCAGTTGTTTCCAAGTCATAGCTGACAATAATTACTAAGTCCTTTTTGTCTTCTAACGTCTGGCAGTTCTGTGTCATCCAGTGCATATGACGTGTAAGACCTCTAACCTATGTGCATTACCGCGCTTCCCTTGGAGTTAATCTTCAGACTCCACAGGTTCGACCATTCAGCTAATTTATCTAGATCACTTTGTAAGACCGACTTATCATCATCATTATTATATGCAGTTTCTCAGATCGTAATATCATCCACAAATAGTAATGAAGATGAAGTAAGAATTGTCGGTAGTTCATTTGCGTATAATAGGAATACCAGGGGGCCTAGTACAGTTCTCCACTCAATGCTGCTTTCCACCCTGACAGTACACTAATAACACTTACCTTTTGTCTTCTATCCATTAGGTGTACTTGTAAATCAGCTGGTTCAATGGTTTTCTTACTATTTCACCAATAATTGAATTTTCAGTACATCGTTTTAGATACTGAAACTTTTAAATTTTCATGTGTAACTTTGTTGTGCTGCGGCTAGGGTTTCTGGTAATGTTAACACTTGTAGATACCTTCCATCTGATTATCATACAGTTACCTTAGAGTTCATTGGAATGATTTCTTATACAATATATTTGAATCAGATGAGAATAACTTCAACCTACTTGGGAGAGTAAAACAATTAAAACTTACCATTATATGGGAAGTTACATCAGCCCCGAAGGGGTTGATCACTGACGGAATTTCAACACAGATACAGAAGGCCCGTTTCGCATATGCCAGTTTACTCCATCTTTGGCCAAGACGTGTTATCCGGCGGATTGTCGACCAAAAGGCGTGTGTACTGCTCAGCAGTCCACTCCGTCCTCCTTTATGTCTGTGAGACCTGGCCAGTGAAAGTGGGTGACATGAAAAGACTAGCTGTCATTGATCACAGAGGTGTCTGTTTTCCATCTCTCGTGTGTTTTAGTTGGAATAATAGGGTTAGTAATATTGAGGTTAGGTGTCGAGTGTTAGATAAGAAGGGAAAAGCAATCGACGAGGTTGTGAAGTTACATCGATTGAGACGCTGAGGACATGTGTTACGTTTGCCTAGCCATCGCCTTCCTCGATGGGAAATATTAGCTGACATAGGATTGATCAGGTTGGAAAAGAGCCATTGGTGGTCAAATGAAAATATGGCTTCATGAGTCAATAAAATACACAACAGTTAGTTTAAGCTGGCTGGCCACGTAGGGAGGAATAGACCTGTCAGTGTCGTCGAGGCCCCCGGGGTGGTAAGAACCAATAGAGACTGGAGGCAACTGGTGATGTACCTGGCTAAAAAATTATTCTCGATGGATGGGTCAGATGCATTCACTCTTTGTGATTCGTCATATCGAATCAAAGTACTCTATTGTTCTTCCATATTACTGTTCTTTTTGTTTCACTCACTTACACTTCTGTTTATTATCTCTCTTTTGATGAATCTGTCTTTACTCTCTTCTCTTGCTTTGTATGGCACATAGACTGTAGGAAGTTGAATTGGTTCACTTCTGTGCGAAGTTCTACGTTGAAACCAGTCAGTCAATGAATTTCGCTCCTTCCTAGAGTCTTCCTCCCGTGTGCCATGCCTTTACCGTTAATTGGTTATGACAAAGTAAGCAAGGCGTATGTATCTGCAGTCTTGAAGGAACTCATGTCCACTATCTGAGATTCGAACCCGTATGTGTCACCGAGTACTGCCTGCAGTCAGAGACGCGTTACCACTGTGAACTGTATTGGATACATTAATTCGACACTAGTTAGTAGTTAGTTTCATTACTGTCGATTGCCCTCAACTCCTCCAATGACCACAACAACAACAGGTCAGAGTTCACCGGGATATCGAGCCACCTAATGTCATGGTGTCCACATTACAAACTTGACTGACTGATTGACATATAAATCCCTACAAACCAACAATTGAATATCGATGAGATGCTCCCTAGCGACTTTCCCTATTCAGGTAGAGATGGTTACCTGGGGTTCTAGTGAGAAGTCGTGACCAGTAGGGTGCAGCAGGTCGGGTGTGAGGACAAATACTCGCCGAAGACATTGGCTAGTGGTCGCGTTATGTCATGAATTGGCAGAAGTTAGAATTCATGGCCCATTGGATTGGGTCCCAGTGGCTTAATGGTCTACGAGCTGTGTACTGTCTCTGGTTTTCATTTCTTTTTACTTTCTTCTCTTGCATTGTGTGCTAGGTGAAATGTGCCAACTGTAACTGCTGCACATCAGTGCAAAGTTCTACGTTAAAATTAGTTCAGTCTCTTGTACAGATCTGAAGTACAGTTCAGATATTTCTTAAGTTATCAGACACTTTTTCTTTCTATCTTATCATATATTTACTCCCATTGGAATTGAATTCACTAATTTCATTTTTCTATCTTTATTGTTATTATTATTATTATAGTTCATGGACAAATGCAATTATGTCTTTGGTAAGTTGTCATATCCATACATTTCTAAATAGAGTATTCTAACTAGATATTTATAAATCCAATATTTTTAATTCAACAGAATACATCCATATAAGTGTTGATGTGTGTCCCCCCCTCCGCCACTGTTTTGAATATTTATTTTTCATATATTAGTAGACTAGGAGTATGAATAGGCGTCGGCGGCACAACGGTAGAATGCTTGCCGATCACACATGTGGTCCGGGATTCGATCCCCGGCCGCCAACGCACTCCTTTACCTTGTGGTGAGAGCTGGCTGCTAGCCAAAGTTGGTAGACAGTTACTGACGTCAATGTTTATGTCCCCAATATTGGTGGTGAGAAAATGAGAACAAAGGCTTTGCGTAGGCGGATACAGTTAGCATATGGATGATCTGACACAGCCACAAAAAGATGCAAGGTTAACCTTCTGTGAGAAACAACCAATCAAAAGATTGTATTTTCTACTAACAATAATCTACAATAATGTACATTAAAATCTATAAATCTGTGTTGATTTTCCTTAATAAACGATCTGTCGCCTGGCCCTTGTCTTCTGTCGTTACAACCTCACTAAGCCAGTAATAAAACGGATAGAAAGGCAAGGTTGGGCATGAGACTAGCAACTCCATCCCGTAAAAAATATCGAAAATACACGCCTCTAACTTGAAGCTCCCTATGTTTCCCTGGGAACGTAAAGGAATAAAAAAAAAGAAGTATGAATTCTATTTCACTTATGACTGTTTTAGAGTTCATATAATGTCATTATCATCTCAAATAGTAGATGCGGCTCATAACCAGTGAGTTAGTTTGCTAGAACCCAAATGCCTAGTATTGACTTTATGGGCCACATTTATTGTGAGGGCTAATGATATGATACAGTTACCCAGACCGAGGTAGGTGAAGCGAGACTCGAATCCCAGAACTTAGTCCTTAGGTCAATGAGTCACATTTCCATCTCATAACCAACTGTAGAAATGTTTACTTGGTGGTTGGGTTATACTCACTTATTCATACATATAATGATGTAAACTAAAGTCTTGTCAAATTTAAATGTGCGTCGGTGGCACAGCGGTTAGGACATGCACATGGTCCGAGGTTCGATCCCCTGCCGACGCACACCCGATATCTATGGTCGGCCTGCAAAATTTGGGCTACCGATTTCACATGCTGCAAATTCCATACTTGTACCGAAAATAATGTGTGGTTTCAAGCTATAACAAAAAAATAAGAGCGTAGGTGAATATGAATATTGATGGGATTCACAGCTTAAGGTAATGGCTCTATAGCTAAATAAAACAATGTCTGTGTCACATTTTGTGATTCGAAGTTTTACGGTTGCGATTGGTCGTAGAGATGTGGCCTTATTGGCTTAGAGCACTCGACTATCAGTCACTTGTTCTCGGATTCGAACCCTAATTTCACTTTCACACGAAAAGTGTTCCTGGCAGCCTGGTTATTGAAATTGAGGTCGTAACTTTTATTCTTGTTTCTTATAATCCTAAGGTTAAATGTGTTTAGAAAATGGTGAGTGTATCTGCTGTTATGATACCGAGGTTTTAATTTCGCATTCACTTTTACTACTACTACTAGTGTTACGCTGAATACAGGAGTAAGGCGAGACTGCCTATTATCACCGATGGTATTCCTGATTTCGATGGACTGGATTATGCATCAGACTGTGCGTGGGGGAGTGAGAAGACATGAATAAGTTGGACTGACTGATAATAATAATAATAATTTGCTTTATTCCAAAACAGTACATGTGATACAGAATGGAATTCTCAGCATTTTTACTACAGTATTGCATCCTTTTAGTACATTTTCAATAAACAGAATTCTACATAGTTTAAGGAAATCTCAGTTCATTATTGCAACAACACATTGGCATGTCGGTAGCAAAGGTAAAGCTGAACAGTGTTTGAAGGTGTTAGAAAAGTGGGAGCTGTCATATTTACTGGTGTAAGCGAGAGAAAGAAACAAAGCAGCACGTAACGAGAAAGAAAAAAAGGAAAGGGAAGAAGGAAAATTTTGTACCTATAAATGATATGAGTTGGAAAGACGAGATCCAGTTGTGCTAATGACTATTTCATGAATTATAGGTGTCACGCTTAATGCTATCTTTATCACACAGAACACGAGCCAAGTAGGGTATGGTTGAGTTTTTGTACTTGCTGGTGCGAGCATATAGTTCTCTATATAGGCTTCTGGTTCTACCTGATGAGATGCAAGGGGAGAGTTGTGAATGAAGAGGGTGGTGTGAGTTAGATAAAATGGATTTGGCCCATTTTTTCACATGAGTCCATGTGCCTGTCGACCAGAATATTAACAAGCTGGTTAATCTAGAAGATTCGGATTTCATGGACGATGTATACCTAATGTCACAAACTCGAAGAATTACAGGCAAAAACTGACAAACAGGCAGAAGAAGCAGCCAGCGAATACAGGACTTCAAGTGAACACATAGAAGATGGAAGTGATGAAGATAACCGACCAACCAACAACAGCAACAACCAGCACTAATCACTATCAACGCAAGAAATTTCCAAGAGATCACTTCCTTCACTTATCTAGGAAACATCCTTTCACCTACAGGCACGCCGAATGGATGAAGATGTCAAAGCCAGTCAGAATCGGAAAGGCAAGGGAGAACTTCGTCACTCTGAAATAATCAATTTGAACATTTCAGCATATAGAACACCGATGTTAAAGCAGTCGGTCATTTCTATATGGGTCAGAAATTTGGTGTCCACATCAAGAAAGGATATTGCAGACTTCTATCAACAGATGCCGCATTCGTTGGTTCCATATTGAAGATCATTTGGCCGGCCAGCCAGCAAAAGAAAGAATTAGCAACAAGAAACTCTAGGAAAAAGCCAACCAAGGTCCTATTGCTCAACAAACATGCGGAAGAGAATGGAGCTGGATTAGGCACACGCTGAGGAGACTATCGAATGACATAGCGCGTCAGGTCATCGCACGAGTAGTACACGAATGGGAAGCGACGATTTGAGCCTGTGTCCGAGGGTGACATGGAGGAGATGAGAGACGATGGGCAACGATGAAGCCAAGTAAAGACAACTGCAGAAAATAGGACAAAGTGGAGATTTACTGTTGAAGCCGTATGTTGTTCCACTTGGAACCCAAGGGAACAATAACAAATAATAGTTTAGTGTTACACTAACTGGTTAGTAGAAAAGATCAGTACACTTTACTAGTCTGTTGGAAAAAAATGTATAACGAAAATAAGTCCACTGAAAAAAACTTCACAGCATTATAAAATGAAGTAGTTAAAATGGAAGTCATGTATATTTTTCGAGTTTGAGTATGGAATGATATCAGTTCCTCCTCTTCATCCCAAGCAGAATATTAAGCCGCATCATCCTGGAGAGAATCAAACAAGCCCTGGATGAAAAACTTCGACCGGAACAAGCTGGATTCAGGAGAAACAAGTCATGTGTTGATCGAATCGCCACACAACGGATCATCATTGAACAAAGTTTGAAATAGCAATCACCTCTCTATCTCAACTTCATCGACTTTGAAAAGGCCTTCGACAGCCTCGATCGAGAGGTGATTTGGAAACTACTTCGCTACTACGGGGTGCCACCGACAATTATACATCTCATCCAACAGCTGTACGACAATGCTGCATGACAAGTAATCCACAACGGCAAAATCATTGAATCCTTCCAAGTGAGAACAGGAGTAAGACAAGGCTGCCTACTATCACCAATGATTTTCCTGATTGCAGTAGATTGGATAATGCGACAACCGCGGACAGTGAGGAAACAGGCATAAAATCGACTCACACAAAACACTTGGAAGGTCTGGACTTCGCCGATGATATATGTCTGATTTCCCACAAACTAGAAGATATGCAAGCGAAAAGCAACAAGTTGGCAGAAGAAGCATCAAAGATAGGACTTCAGGTGAACATAGATAAAACAGAGGTGATGAAGATTCCTGATCAACACCACCAACAGCAACAACAACAACAGACAACAATCAGCATAAATGGGAGGAACCTGAAAGAAACAACCTCTTTTACCTACCTGGGAAGTATCGTTTCAACTACAGGCGGAACTGATGAGGATATCAAAGCAAGAATCGGAAAAGTAAGACAAGCTTTCACTACTCTCAAGTCTGTGTGGAGGTCAACAACACTCAGCATCAAAAATAAGATCCGGATTTTCAACTCCAATGTGAAGTCAGTCAGTGCTACTATACGGATCAGAGACTTGCACTGCGCATCATAAAGAGCACCTCAAACAAACTACAGACCTTCATTAACAGTTGTCTTCGCTCAATACTCAAGATCAGATGGCCAGCCAGAAAAGATCAGCAACAGGGATCTCTGGCAATGAGCGAACCAACCAGGAACCGATTGTGAAACAAATAGGCAGGAAGAAATGGAGATGGATTGGCCATACTCTGGGGAAACCATCAAGTGACATCACTAGACAAACCATTGCTCGAGTGGAACCCGAAAGGGAAGCGGCGAGTTGGTTGTCAGTGCAAGGGTGACTTGGAGGAGTTCATGTGAAGAGGAGATGAAAACGTGTGGGCAGACTTGGAGCCAGGTGAAGACTCTAGCAGAGAACCGAACGCAATGGAGACGCGTGGCTGAAGCCCTATGTTCCTCTAGGAATTAAAGGAAATAATAGTAATAATATATCAGTTGGAGAACAATTGAAAAACAAGAGTTTACTGTCTCATCCTAGTTCGAAAATCATCAGCAGCACGCACCCACCACAGGGATTCAAATCCAGGACCTTCAGGTTACAAGGCAAGTTCGTAGACCATTCAGTCGCTGGTACCGGACTCCTCAACGACCAACCCATGAATTCTAACTTCTACCAATTCGTGATTTTTAGCGCGACCACCAACCAATGTCACCGGTGGGACTAGTCGCTAGTGACTTGCTACAGGACGGAGATTCCTGGAGTTCTAATGAGAAGTCGTGACCACTGAGGTCCATCCAGTTGGAAGTGAGAATGGATT